GTTTTTTGGAGGTACTCTTATACTTTCATGTAGATGTTCTTATCTAACCGGCACAAACAAATGCATGGTAGATGGATTCAAGAAGATGATGATAGATTTCAAGTTGGCATGCTTGGCCTCATTAAATATTTTCTAGAAATTCAAATAAAGCAAAGCTCAAGAAGAATTTTTCTATCTCATGAGTAGTACATTGAAGATCTCCTGAAAAAGTTCTACACAAACCAATGCAAGCCAGTCTCTATTCTGATTGCAAGCTTGTTGGCTTCAGAGACAGTGATTGGGCAAACCAATATACGATCGAAAGATCACTTCTAGCTAAATACATTGTCTTAGTACAAAATGTCACTTTGTGGGGCTCGAAGAAGTAAAAATCTGTAGCACTCTCTTCGCCAAGAGCATAATACATTGCTGCTATAGACGTAGCTTGTGAAGTAGTTAGGCTTAGAAGAATTTTGAAAGACTTGAAGTTCGAGCAACAAGACCAAAAACAATTCATCGCGACAATATGTTAGCAGTTGCGCTTGTAACGACCCGACCTCACGCCGAAGTCGTTATCATATCATATGTATTGTCCTCTTTGGGAGGGCCTATGCCCATCTTACCCCTCACGACTTTTTGATGCGTCCTCCAAGATTCGAACCCAAGACCTCTATCATATGAGAGACTTATGATGAATCCTAGTGCCTAGGTCCTCTCAAAGCGGACATGACATATAATATGATAACGAATCCGACGCGAGGTGGGGTCGTTACAACACTGACAAAGAATTCAATCTTTCATGTCCAATCCCAGCATATTGAATTCCGACATCATTTCATCCCAGATTAAGATTACAAATTAAGGAAGGGTGTTAAAAGTTGAAGAATAATTTGTAATCTTCAAAGACTTTGAAGACAACCACATTGAAGATCATTTTGGATTCTTCACCTTGGATGATATAGTCTTGCCTTGTATAAATAGAAGTCTTCTAATTAATTAATTTTAAAAAACTTCGTAATTTTCAAGAAATCTTTAGAACTGTTCATAGCTGCGTATATAAACAAAGTAAAATTATTACTATTATTATTTATTATTAGTTTTTTTTCAATTTCTTCAGTTCAAATAAAAATATGAAAGTTGTAGCTTTGGCAGCTGCCATTAACAAATTCTATGTGTGTCAAGCCAAGGTGTTGCCCCATAACCCGATTTACACTTCCAAATGTAGTGTACGATATATTTCAAGAAGTTTCTCAACTCCCAATACAATTGAAGATTTGACCCATTTGAAAGCTATCTATAACTCGCTGGAGGTTTGAGAAACATACCGACATATTGTAGTCTCATTCTCTAATTTTTTTATGCTATATATGTCATGACTAGGAGTGTCAACCAATCGGGCTGAGTCAGCTTGTGAGCAAAAGCTACTGATTCGTGTGTGGCCCGACAAAAAAAAAACTGGGGATTTTCGTCGAGCCAAGCCGAGCCAAAGTCCGGCTGAAATTTTGAGGCTTAGCAGAGCCAACTCACGATTTTTTTTAATTTGTTTTAAACATCCGTGAAATTTTGAATCCTTTTAACAATGTAAATTTTGTGCAATTTATACTATTTGTAATTAAATAAAACTCACAACAAAATTGGGCCATTAACACAGGCCATTTTTTGGCCCGTCACAAACCAAAAATGGACTGTGACATGAGCCAGCCCGAGCTCGGGCCAAGTCATGAAATTTGGGCTTGGCTCGAGTCTTGGCTTGGGTCCACCGAACCCCGAGCCAAATCGGCTCAGACTTTTCTGGGGCTGTCCTAGTTGACGGGTCGGCTCAGACTTTTCCGGCGCTGTCCTAGTTGAGGGGTCGATAGTCATCCATAGTCATGTCATTGCATGAAAAGAAGAGAGCCCAATGTAGCCAAGCAATAAATTGCCGACACTTAAATACCAACTAATTTTTCAAGATACTGATGTATCGATCATCATTCTACTTGGTATAAATTGCTGCACTGCCGGCAATTCATCCTTGGCTGTACTGCACTCTCATCCTATTCATGCAATGCCCTAAATTATTGCACTATTTTGTATTTTTCATATTCTTCTTCTCTATGGTGGTGAAGTGCTGTATGAATAAACTTATATATAGGCTTAGAAAGTGGAGAATATGCGTAGGAATGGATATTTATTCTGATCATGCAAATTTCAGAATGACATGTGACTTTTGGTGCTATCCAAAGAACATTAACGAATATGATTCATTGTCAACCCGGCCGATACTTCTTTTCAACGAAGTATCTAACTCAAAGCATGAAGAGGATGCACGAGATAGTGTCTACTAGTTTTTGGTTAGCTTCTAATCAACTGTACTTGGTGAGTTTTTCTTGAATATATAGTTCGTTGGTTGGAGGTAATAAAGGGTGGAGTCGTGGGGACAAATAAAAATTTTATACTGAATTGATACATAGAAAAAAAAAAAAAATCCGTAATTTTTTTTTCCTTTTTAACAAAAAAAATAAAGTTAAAGTTCTATCCTCCAAAAGTGCTCTGAATTTGGTCAATGACACTTGTGTGGAGAACAAAAAAGAGATTTGGAATGGTTGACACTGTCTACTGATTGTTACCTTGTTGCAAGATCTAGTAATATATTTATATACATACATGTATTAGTATAGAATATAATGCATGTGGGATGGTGGTATATTTCTTATCATATCTTTGAAGCGTGATAAGAAAGTTGAAAATGGAAAGTTGATCTGGTTTTGCATGGAAAACTCTTGGTATGCAGATGGCAGCATGTGCATGCCAGAATCCTTAGCCTGTTAATACAGTAGGGGCATATCTGGAGTATTAAATATAATAGACAAAATTTCGCTCTTTTTTTCTCGATAGTGTTCAATATTGAGAATTAGATACTCTAATTCTATCACCAAGAGCAATAAGTTCGCAAAAAGAAAATGGACACAAGAATACACAAGATGTACAGAGATTTGCCTCAATGTGAGACTGTATAATGAAAAGAAGTTTAGAAGAAAACAATGCACACTTGTCTTCCCTAATCCCCTTTCCATCTCTTTTATGATGTTAATACGAAACTCTAATCACAACCTCCCATTCATAAGACAAATTAGGACAAAATCAAAATTATAAGTGTGAAAATTTTAAATTGTCCTTAATGAATTTTAGTCTAGAACCGTAGGGAGGGCTTCCTGTTCTCGTTTCAACTCCACGACGACCTCACCGCAAACTGCATTAATAGCTATTTACAATGATAATGATCAGACTCCACAACTTAATATCCAATTTACATTATTATGTCAAATATATCCTCATATAGGAATCCTCCCATATAAAGCAAAAGGTCTAACAAGTTGTTGGGAACTTTCTACAAAGTTATTTAGATGAGGATTGGTCATGTTGACTCAGCATGGCCCCCAATAGCCCTATTTGTATGCACGAAACATTATCAGAACATTATAAAGACATTCTTTTGAGTTTTGTCCATCCTTGGGTGCATAGCTACGACCAATTATCATCGTAAGCTTTGGTTCTTGTGCACGGCCTTCCCTTGACTCGAACTGATGCCTTTTAATTTAGTTTGAAAATATTTATTTCGTCCCAATTTCATAATTCAACTTTCAAATTCATTTCAATNCGCATCTCAAGTGTAGATGTTGATTATGTAACGCCATGACAAGTTGATTCGAAATTTTTATATTGCATCGTCAGAGTGGGTGTAACAATGAAACCAATGTTTAAAAAGGGAGTCTAAAGTCAATTCTTTATTTTTTCAGATTTTGATAAAAGTCAATAAAATTGAGTTGTTAAACTGTCGAGTCTCATGAAATGTACACTTAATTTTAATTGTTGTTTTTTATCTCAACTTTTTAACAATTTTTTAAGCTATCCCAAACAAGTACTATATATGACTTAAACCTAAACACCACCATCAAACGAATCTAAAGAAAATGACTATCTTACAGATGTCCAATAATCAATACACCATCCTACAAACTTTTAGTTACTTTGAGATAACACAAAATAAGCACTTCGAAATTGTGTATTCAATTATCTTTCTATATACAAGCATGTTTTGGAGTGCGTTTGGATAATAAGTGAATAGTCCTTGTAAATCTTAAGAAATTTGTGTGGATCAAAAATATATTATAATGTAATCTTTGTCAAACATGCACAATATTTCATGGTCATGTAATAACTTAGGCACTAGAGTTAATTTTAGTTCAACACTATGGCAATAGATATTATACCACAGATTTTTTTTCCCTTCCAATTTTCATTTTTGGTATATTTAAAAATTCATCTTCTTAAGTTTTACTATATATGCTCCTGTTTAGTTCTCATTTTCCTCCAATTCATTTCTATCGCGTACACTTTTCAGTCACATATTTCATTATCTTTTATTAAAATCCACTAAAAATCCGATTTTTTACAAAAATCGAATCCCATATTAAGCGCTTGTCTGGTGTTGCTTTTCAACAGGTTGGGAATTGATTTATTGACCGTTGAGCACAAGGTTCCAAAAATCATGTGAGTAGAAGTCAAATTTTGCTGCCGGTGGGGCCCTTACAACGGTTGGAATTCCAGTTAAAATTGAATTTTAATTGCAAACAGACAAGCACTAAATTAAGTTATAGCTTTGTTGTCTTTTGTTGATTACTGAATAAAATAATCGAGATTTCTCTTGAAAGCTGTCATATTATCGATATTCTAACGGAATCAACAGATTTTTGAAACTGGGAGGAGTGATGTGCATTAAAATGGTTTTGGTTCAAGTGAAGAATAATAAATGGAAACATGGGGTTTGTTGGGGAAGGCAATTGACATGAAAGAAAAAATTGTTGAAAGTTAGGAAAGGGAGCACAAGTATAAATTACATGGCTATAATTTAAATTATTAGTATTACTTAATCATCTTCTAACCAACAATTTTTTATTTTTTGTCTTCCCATACATAAATTTATCTGCACAATTTGCCTACTTAAACCCATGTTTGGTGATTTTTTCCAGTGTGCAGAAATGGCTGGTGTTGCAGAAGTAGATGGTGGAAGCAGCCACGGCCGCCAAGTCAATGCAAGAGGTAATTTTCTGATGGGAGAAACCCTCCGCCGCCCTCGCGGAAGGCCAGCTGGCTCCAAGAATAAACCCAAGCAGCCAATTATCATCACTAGGGAAAGTGCTAATGCAATGAGAGCACATGCAATAGAAGTAAACTCCGGCTGCGATATTAACGAAACCTTAATTAACTTTTCTCGGCGGAAACAGCGAGGCCTATTCGTACTCAACGCAACAGGTTGCGCCACCAATGTCACCATCCGTCGGCCGGCTTCATCGGGATCAGTCATCACTCTCCATGGCCGTTTCGAGATTTTCTCGTTGCTTGGATCAATTCTGCCACCACCAGCAGTGCCGGGAGTGTCGGCCGGCCTTACAGTGTACCTTGCTGGGACTCAAGGGCAGGCTGTAGGAGGGAGTGTGGTTGGTGCACTCATTGCTTCAGGGCCTGTAGTTATTATGGTTGCAACTTTTGATCACTTGCCATTAGAGGATGACGAGATTGTTGCGGCCGCCAATCATAACCAGCAGTACCAAAACAACCGGCGGCTCCACTGGATTGATTTCTCAGAAATATATGGGGTGCAACAAAATTTGCTAACAAATGGTACTGTACCCTCTGAGATGTATACGTGGGCACCTGCACCAGGACGACGGACTCTATCCAAATCTTAAATTTACTGTAATATGTGATACTAATCCTTAAGATTATCGGTCTATTTATCGTTATGGTGATAAAACATTGGCGAAGTAACAGTTTATGTGAAATAATGAGATTAGACAATTTACTTTTTAGGAGAGAGAGAGGAAGGAGAGAGAAAAATGTGAGGGATAATGTATTGTCATATTACTGATGTTCCATCGTCACGATGATAAATAACATTACTCATTTATGATTTCAAAGTTTCAAAGATCAAGATTTTTCACTTAGTAGAGTTAAAAACACTGAATGTTTAGAAAAATAAGCTCTATTTTTATTTCCTAGTTGGACAAATTAAGATACTGCTAATGCATACAAATGACTAGACACTTGAAAATTAATAAATTTGATGAACTTATGAGTATTTTACTGTTCAAAAATAAAAAATAAAAAAACAGAAAAAAATATCAAAACTCTCACGAGCCATATTTTTGTGTACGCAACATAGATATAGACCATTTGAATAGAAATAAATGCACTCGACCATATATTCAAACATCAAAATAAGAAAGCTTAGACTAATGTCATATAGCAATTGGAGGCAATTAGATCAAAATATATTTATTTTCTTCCACCTGCCAAAAAAAAAAAAATGGAAACTTCAAAATTCATAGCACTCGGTTTCTTTCTTATGAAAACCTTCAAAATTAATTCCACACATCGACCACAAACCCTAGCTTTGTGTGAGCCTCCCTTCTATGCCAAAAGATATAAAAGCTCCATCACTCTATTCCTTTTTTTCAGACACGGGAGCTTAAAAAAGTAAATCCTATCAATTTTATCATTATCCACTGATATTTCTATCTGAGCTGTTTTTTGTTTTGTTTCGTTTTGTTTTTGTAGATTAGGTGTCACGAGGCTGACTTGAGAAGGGAGCAAAATGTAAAATCAAGAAGAAAACTGTAAAAAGAGCCACCTTAACATTTAATTTTGGATTGTACGACGATCATGGACAATATTTTTAAATAAAAAAGGTGTTCACATGTAATTCAGATCAGCAATGCATATCAATTGTGCACCAGAGGCTACCTTAAGAATAGCGTAAGTAATATTAAAAGAGTTTAAAATATCTTTATGAATCATTAAGGTTTCCTAACATGGAGTACTTGAAGAAAGAAACCTTTGTTTTGTTAGGCTGTGGACTATGCTATCTATGCCTTTTTTACTTTTCCATCATCTGTTCATTTTTCTTCTCATACAAGTTCATAAAAAATGAACATCGTTTCTCCTCTTTAAGACATGTTAATTAGTACATCGTACGAGATATATTGTAAAATATTATTGATTGCGTCCTCTAATTCAACTAAAAAACTCGTTGTATCTCATTATTTTATTATAAGAAGTTTTAAGTTAGGTTGGTGTTCCATGATTTTTTCCATGCACATTTTAAACTTTTTTCACATATAAATAAAACGTTCTTATAATTTTGTTGTGCTGTATTAATTTTTCTACCTAAAATTATCCGATGGACATTTATTTGGTCATGTTGTGCCCATAATTTTTTTTCATATATTTGGGTTTCAACACAAATAATAATGTATATTACAAAAAAAAAAAAAAAATGTTTCAACATTGTTACCATTTCCATAATTTTATCTTCTTATTGTAGAATTTAAATTCCCATGAATAGCACATAAATCTACAGGAAATCACGTCTACAAACTCAGAAGAAGGCAATGCATTATTTACTGTTCTTTTTGTCTGTTATTTTCTTCAAGACATCCCAGCAAATTCATTTTTTTTATCATAAGCAAATGACTATCCTCTAAAAAAGTGGCAGTGACGTTCATATCTAGGAATTTTGTCTCCTTGAATACTAAATTGAACCACTAAGCAAATGATTGTACTAAAAATATTGTGTAAACTCACATTCAACTCAAAGTGATCAAGTAGCTGACTCAACTTCTTGTGCCCCAATAGTCTCTGCAGATTGATCTCCTGAGGCTCGCATGAGAAGAAGAGAGCCAAATGTAGCCCAGGACAACTTGCCGACTCGTGAATATTTGGCGCTTATTTCAATAATATTCCAGCCGGCAAGTCATCCTTGGCTGCAATCCACTCTCTTCTCATTCATGCAAGACTCTCAGACAAACTTGTGTAAACAGAAGAAAACTCTATGACATTTTTGAGAAAAAATGCCTTCATATATATACACAAAAGAACCCACATAACCTCTTCTCTTTTATAATAGCATGTGATTTCATTTGAATTTACATAGGGGTGCAAAAGCAACCGCATTTTGTGTATTCCATTATTATCTTCATTCATCTGTATACAGCACCTTTATTGGCAAAAGGCACCATATATTGGTCCCACCCACTTGCTATATTAGGGAGACAAGAGGCCAGTCGTTGGTTTTAATGCTGGATATGTTGGCAACTTTTTTCCGCCAGTGGGATTTCATTATCTTTTATGGGAAGCAGAAACAAATCTCCTCGTCACCTACCATAGATAGTGGTGTCAAAGATGCAACCCGGCTCAGCTCCGCCGATTTTATAGATTGCACGCACCCCCAAAAAAATAAATTAAAATAAGAGAATCGATGACTATCTTGACAAGGAGGCGTTGCCTCTTATGTAATTTGTTATTGTTATTATTATTATATATTTTTTTTATCAATTGGAGTTTTATTGGTAGACCCTCACTTGTGGTGGAAGAAAATCGTCGTTACAACTACGAAAAACGAAAAGAAGGCAAATTACATTTATCTAAACGAATGCAACCAATTGTAGAAATAGGGAAACTAGAGATTGATTCTAAGAAATCCGAAAGACCTTGAGATCCAAGATGCGCTAAGAAATATGCCACATGGTTTGCTTCTCGATAAACATGTGATATATCAATAGATATAACATGAGCAAGCTCCAAAATATCCTCCCAAATTAGTCGAACGGAACAAGGTATGTTAACATTATGATGAAACGAATGAACCACCACATTAGAATCTGTTTCAATAGCAATCATGTCAATGCCAAGGACATAGCATATTTGAAGGCCTATCTTAAGAGCTGATACATCCGCTAAAGTGTTAGTACCAACCCCAAGAGAATGATAGAACCCAAAAATTACATTCCCTTGCCAATCCCGAAGCAATCCATCGCAACCAGCTGGGCCTGGATTTCCAACACTAGCACCATCAATATTTAGTTTATAACAACCATGTTGTAGAGGGGACCATTTTATAAGAAATGGAGCTTTGACTCGTATTGACACCATAGGGATACGTAGCACTTGCGAATAATAGGAAGAAATAGACAATTTCTTTGGTTTTAGCATACCATTCAATTTGTGTAGCCAACGTTTTACTTTAGCACAAATTTTGTGCAAGTTTGCAGCATCATCCCTAAATCTTGTAGAATTTCTGACCAACCAAAGCTCCCAGAAAAGAAGTGCTGTAATAAGGAAAGTTACAAGATGTTTTTGCGTGGACCCACCAAAATGAGCATTCCAAAATAACATTGTAGACCGCTAAGAAATATTAGTAGGAATTCTAACTCCAAATAGTTGTCCAAAATATTGCCATACTTGAAAGCAATAGAACTGGTTGTGAAAACACGATCTATTGTTTCTACATAACCCTGTGAACAACATTGACACTTGGACACAATAGCAACCCTTCAACGCCAAACCACTTCATCCACAGGAACCGCATTATGCTAAAGGCGCCAACAAAAAATTGAAATTTTTAATGGTATGGTAGAGTTCCAAATGATCTTATAAGGCAGAAAGGATGGTCTAGTAGTTCTGAGAAGAGACCAAGCTGAGCTTGTAGAAAACAAACCATTGCTGCAAGGGCAACAAATTAATTCATCTATACCGCTGCAAAGCGGGATTTGGGAACGTTGAATTTCCTCCACTAAAGGCGAACCACCCAAAGGAAAAAGCTTATTCGGGTTCCATTTACCATTTAAAACTACATCATGAAGTCTTAAATTTGGGGTGTTGATTATCCAACCAAGTGAAGCCAAAGCACCCAAACCCCGTCCAATTGTCATACCAAAATAGAGCACTACCATCGCAGATCAGCCATATGCTATGTTCTGAAATGAATGGAAAAAGATGTGAAATATGTTTCCAAAATGATGAATCTTTAATACTTGCAGAAAAGTTGGCCAAGTCTAGGTGATGGCTGAGATATTTTTGTCACGTGAAATCTACCCAGAGTGAGTGAGATGTAATTATTCTCCATGCCATTTTACATTGAAACAACTGGATCACATAAAAAAGACTACAAATACCCAAACCTTCTTCCTTTTGTGGAAAACATATGTTATTCCAAGAAACCCAATGGTGTTTCATTATCCCGTCTAATCCCCCCCCCCCCTCCCCTCCCCTCCCCTCCCTCACCCAAAAAATTGGCAAATAGGGCATGAATCTCTTTAACAATTTTTATGGGAGGTGTGACCACAGAAAATAAATAGATAGATATGGAATTTAATACTGACTTGATTAAAGTGAGCTTTCCACCTATGGATAGAAGCTTTCCTTTTCATCCCGCTAATTTTTTTCCTGATTTTATCAAGCATGGGAGCGAACATTGAAGAAACGGGTTTGCCGTAATGAAGAGATGATTTAAGATAAGTAAAAGGGAAGAAATTTTCTTTGAAACTTGTTGTAGATGCAATGACATGCTTTTTAGAAGTTGAAACTCGTTTGTGGACTATAAAAGAACTCTTACCCACATTAATTAACTGCCCAGATACAGCTTTATAGCGTCGAAGAAATCCCATTAAATTATTAAGGCTACGTCGAGTTCCATTAGCAAACACTAAGAAATCATATGTATAAAGAACATGTGATATAGGAGAACATGTAGAAGGAACCTGATAAGGAACTGTTATGCCATCTGCCAGAAGCTTTGTTAGGCTCATACTAAGTGGCTCTTCACTGAGAATAAATAACAGCGGTGATAATGGGTTGCCTTGCCTAAGTCCACGAGATGGAGTGAAAAAACTAGCTCATACGCCATTAATTT